TATATATGATGTAAAAGTTTTTCGAGAAAATCTTTAGTTAAAACGAGTGAATGACTTTACGAAATCATTTGAAAATTATAATCGATCCGCTCTCAACAGCAACATCAACAATATAACGACAACTTATTCGTAAAATTCAAGATAAATCATCGACTCTTGTCACATCATACGCACATTGTCATATTTACGGACAATTCTTTCCTCTTAAAAAATGTTCGTCGAACGTTTTTCATGCGTTTATAATACATATAGGTAAGATTAAAATTAATTATTTGTGATATGGATTTGAATGTGTGTTGATGTACAGCGCAATCGCATCCGCGAAAAATTGATATGTTGGTGCTAATAAAAATAACTCGTTTGTTTTTAATGCTAAAACCCTCGGCGAGCTGTTATACGCTATACATATTATGCAAGTGAATGAGATTATAGGTTGTTTTCTACTCCTCTATATATGCTCTATGGTTGTTAAAAAATGTCACGGTTAAAAAAAATATAAGTTTTTATTATTTACCTTAATAAAGGTTCAATAATAATGATAATAATAATACTAATATAGTGACGATGTCTACGTCAATTAGTTGTTATTATTGTAATATATTATTTTTAATTATTTTCACATGAAATCTCACAACCTATCCTACTATATTTTTCCACGTGGCAAGTAACCGCTGCAAGTATATTTTTCCTCTTAAATTAACAATCGATTCCAACAAAGGCTTGTAAAAAAACGGTGAGTAACAATTTTTTTTATGTTTTTTTGTTTTTTTTAAATATTTTCTTCTTGATTTCGTTATTATCACGCGACGATTGTATCAACAAAAGTAAAACGTTCAATAGCCTCGAGCCTCATTCGGGTTGATGGAGTTGTGCTCGTTCGATCAATCGCAAAAACGATTTTCGTGATATTTTTTTTAGGTACTTAGTACTTGTGCTTTTGTTGAGTGTTGAAAAAAAAAAAAAAAAAAAAAAAAAGATTATATCACCCTTAATGGGGTACACGAACGATCGAGCTCTTATCGAACTGCTGCGGGTATTAACGCACACGTAATATTAAGTACACGTAAAAAAAAAGTGTACTTGAAAGATTTTCGTCGCTTTTAATCCTTGCAAATACCACGAATGATCTCTCGTTGTCCATAAGTATAATAAACACCGATAACATTAGGTAAAAATAACGAAGAAAAAAAGGAATTATAATAATAATAACAACAACAACAACAACAACGATATTAACAAGTAGAAGAAATGGAAAAAAAAATGGACCTGATGAATCATGGTTAGCCTCTCGCGGCATGATTTTCAATAGCATACAGTATATGTAAAGAGGGTGTATCGGCAATAGCAGTATTGTTTTTTTAGTAAAATGTAGTGTCATTTTAACACTTAACATAATTAAGTATATATACAGTAGGTATATATAATATGCATATTAGGTATACGAATATACCCCGGTACATACACATACATATAGGTTTTGACAGCAGCGGCATGTCATACCTATACGTAAACACATAGTACCGTTGTAATATCACAGAGCAGCGTCGACACTCGGTATATATATAAATATATATTTTTCGCCGCGCGCTGCCGCTTGGACGCGCATCATATTATTATCAGCCCGGTATAAATATGTGTATGCATAATTATGTAGGTATACCTTATACAACGTGGATCAATCGCGCGGGCTATTATGTATACCCTATGCGCACATAATGATAGTACATGGAGCCGATTTTAAACGATCTCGGGAACGTTCTCGTCCTGCTCGGCGAGCAACAGGGGCACGGCTTGCTGCCTGTTGCTCGCCTCGGTGGAGTGCAAGTGTGGGTGGTGCAGGCGATGATGATGATGATGGTGGTGGTGGTGCAGGTGCGAGTGGTTGTTGTTGTTGTTGTTGTTGTTGCCACCGGCACCGTTGATGTTGTTGTGGTAGTAGAGGTGGCTCGCGAGGAAGCCGGTCGCGTTGGCGCCCGAGGGGGTGGTTGGGGCCGATCTCGACAGCCACGACCTGGACTTGGTGGGCCGCGGTGCGGCTGGTGGTGGGCCGACCGAGACGTACGTCTTGCCCCGTGTGCGCTTGGTGCGGGTGCCGTTGCTGCCACTGGCCTCCGTCGTCGGGGCCGTGGGCTCGTCGTCCGGGGGACTGGCTGAGCGCTGGTGGCACAGGCCGAGGGAGAACAGAGCTTGCGGCCGGTTTTGCTGCGCTGCCGGTAGCTGGGGCAACTGCTGGATTTTGTCCAAGAGCTCGCGCAGCTGCAACACAATATGTTTCCGAGCTGAGCGAGTTTCGCGGGGCCATGTGCTCTAAAGCTGGTACACATATTATGTACAGGTGGTGGTGATTGGGTTGAAAGATTTCATTTGCTCTTTTTTCTTTGCCATCGGTAATTCATATGATATACAAAAGTAAGCAACTATCACGTGATTGTCAATGAGCAATAGGTATGAAATTCAAAGCAAATAATTGTAGACGCCAAATCAAGCGCAATGTTTATCATGTCAATGGACGTACCAATTCCGAGGGTATCTTTGATGTGCGTGGGCGTGTGTAATAGAAATCATAAGAAAAATCATTGGAAAAGTAACAAGGGAAGGAAAAAAATACAGTGTCACGAGATAAAGAGCCTTTTTCCCCCTCGAATGAAACTGACCTCTATCGTGGGACTTGTGGCCCTTGGAGGCGACAGCGGCGACTGAGCCGCCAAACTCGAAACGTCGGATGTGGTCCGATGGTTGGCAAGAGAGGCCAACGAGCCATCGCCAAAATTCGTTGGTCGCTCGCGCGTCCCGCCTACGGCACCCTTTGTACGACGATACTCATTTGTAATATCATTTTCGTTTGTTAGAGAGAAAAAAAAAAAAAAAAAAAAAAACAACTTACCAAAGCAGCCGCCCCGGCGCTCGAGAGCTCGTCGATGCTGTTGTTGCACGAGTAGGGGGGCGGTATGATGGTGTTGGCCTCGTTGACGACGTTGCACATGAAACTCGAGCTCAGCGAGTCCAGGGTACTGGCGTGCGACAGCGACCTGAAGTAACGCATCACGAGGCCCGAGGCCCCTTTGCCGAAGCCGTCGTCGTACCCGATCACCAGCGGGTAGAGGTCTGGCTTTGCCGTCACCTACGTTTCAGAAGAAAAAAAAATAAAAAAATAAATAAATAAATAAACAAATAATACAATTACGTGGCTCGTTAAACACGTAGGCGGCTAGTTTTATGTTGCCCGGTAACCTTGGGTACATAATATATGTATACGTGTATGGCCCGTTTAACTTTAAAAAGCCGCGTGAGCGACATCGCTCGACTTTCGATCTCTAGTATTTTTTTTTCTTTTTTTTTTTATCTGGCGTCCCCATCAATTGATAATCACACGCGTCATGAAACTAGAGCAGTGCAGTTTGTACACATCGTCTCTTTGCTCGCGTATATGTGTACCACACACGCGCGAGAGACTCTGCAATGTGAGACAAAAAAAAAAAAAGGTATACTATTGAAAAAAAAAAAAAAAAGGACTAAAGGAGGAGCAAGTGTTACCTCATTGTAGGGTGGCGGTAGGGCCTGGACGATGGAGCTGCAGCGGCTGTAATGGGGCGGTAGGTAGCAGGAGCCGGTGGACGCACGATCGGATATCGTTCCGTCGTCCATCATGCTCGAGCGCCTTCGCCGGTACAGCCACCAGCCGCAGAGCACCGCGAGTGCCAGGCAAGCCAACAGCGCGATCCTGCCATTTTTTATTTATTTTGTTTAATTTTTTAGGATCAGCGGTCTGCTGTTTGCGTGCATGCGATATAGACGGTTTGGCTCACCACAAGTACCAGTAGTACCAGAACATAAATTTGAACATCTCCGCGATGGAGTTGTCGATGTGCGGGAACGACGAGTACGTGCAGCAGCCCAGACTGCAGCACTCCTTCGGGAACGAGCACCTGGAACGTTATTTTATTTTTATCATCATCATTATTATTATTATTATTATTTTTTTTTTTTTTTCGTTTTACTTGATAAAAAAAAGAATAAATGTTCGAGTACTCACACGTGACCTCCATCGCAGAGCTTAGCCGAGACCTTGAAGGAAAAAAATTCAATGACGAATAATAATTAATGCGGGATTGTGTACGTTAGCGCGTGTACGAGCATGAAAAACTAAAGAAATGTATATTTTGTAAGTATCTCGGTTATGCAAGTTAGGTAATGATGCTGTTATGTAACTAAGGGGTGATGTACGTGCAAGGTGTTGTGTATTGATGTGTATACATAATATGCCTGTAGGAAAAAAGAAAAAAAAAAAAAAAAAAAAAAAAAAAAACTATAAATATATCTTTGATTTACTAAAATCTAGCAACTCAGTTTTTTGTATGAATAGTTTTTATGTACAATTATATAAAGCATAGAGTTTACATAAACATTTTTCAAACTTGATTTTCTCCAAAATAAAGTAGTCAATCAGGCTGTTTCTTTTTCAACATGTAATAATCTAGGATAAAGAAATATATAACAATATTGCCAATTTTCATACTATTCCAACAGATAGATACATAACGCCTAAGCACCTTAATACGAAGTTTACCACCAAAGCCTCGTTTAAGGTAGTTGTACAGGTACCGCAAGAGTCATGAAACTTTTTGATTTGTGTAGTAGAACGATCTGGCAACGTCGCTTTGCGGTCATGTGTGTGTGCCTGTAAGTGTGTGTTCAGAGCATCATAGAAGGAGCACTTCGTTGATCAGCTGTANCATATAGATACGAAGCGTCTGCTCGCGTGGCTTATTTCTATTGCTGTAATTTCCGATATTTATACTTCAGACCGCCACGGCGGCGGCTTTCTATCTTACTAACCAAAAAATCCCCTACTCTCTATACTCTCTCGGCTCACGTTTTTTTCCTCTGTGCAGTCTGTTTCTATTCAAGTGTGACACGTTGTTGTCAGTAACCTGTAGCGTTATAACGCCAAGTAGGGTAGGTGTACTTTACTCCGATAAAAAGTGTCACAATCGCCGACAGTTCTCTTGCAATGACGGTCGTTCGATGATATTGACGAAAGCCATTTTTTATTAAAAAGTTGATTGATAGACAGTGGAAGTGCGTGCATGTTTTTTACAACAAAAAGACACCCTACGGGATAGTGTACTTAAACATTGTGCACATGCCCGCGCGTACAAGGATAAAAATATGAGGATACCGACGATGGCATGTCCCTGCTGGCTGCTGGGCCTGCTATTGTTGCTTGTCTGCTGTACTGGTTTGGCTGAGGCCTGGGACGAGGCTGAGCTTGAAGTTTTTGACGTTGTCGAGGAAGTCAATCAGAATTTCTACAAGCTCCTTGGTGTGCCACAGGTGAGATCTATATTTTCAATATTTAAATGTTTAATCCAATACAAATTGAGTTCTTTTATCCATACAAAATAAATAAAACTGTTGATACAGTTTACTCTATTAAATTCAATAGGCATATATTACCTATAAAAGGTTAACATATGGTAAAAGAGTTAATTTTACCTAAGACCCACAAATGATGTATCTTTGTTTTATTCCAGAATGCAAATTCAACGGACATTAAAAAAGCTTTTCGTAAGCTGTCACTGCAACTTCATCCGGATAAAAACAGTGCTGCAGATGCCGAAGTGCAATTTAGAAATGTAAGAGATGTTTTCAATATTGGCCTCAACAAGTGTAAAATGTTTTTTCATGATGTTGTCGTTTTGACTGTGATATTGATTTTGCAGCTAGTGTCAGTCTATGATGTCCTCAAGGATGCTAAGAAACGAGATTATTATGACAAAGTTCTCGTTAATGGGCTGCCGAATTGGCGGTCTGCTGTATATTATTACCGACATGTTCGGAAAATGGGAATTTTGGAACTTAGCATTATACTTTTTATCATCATAACGATTGGACAGTATTTAGTTTCATGGGCAGCATATTTCGAGAAGAGATACACTTATGTAAACTTGAGCTTCAAAACCTCATCACTTGTATAACTTTGTTTTTGAATGAAAATAATTTTTTAATTTCAGGAGCAAGTATTGGGAAGTAAGTTACAAAAGTTGCAAAAAAAGAATAGGAAAGGTAAAATGGATGTTCCCGACTTGTCAGAAATATTGGACAAGATTCCTACACCCAGTGTGAAGAATACTCTTCCATTCCAGTTGCCAATGTGGACATACTGCTCTATTGTTGGTATTCCGTCCACCATTCGTAGTTTATATAGAATTTTAGAGGAAAGAAAACAAAGGAAAAAGGAGGAAGAAGAAGCTCTGTTAGTTTGTAGAAAGCATGCGCTTATTTTCATTTTTCTTAGCTCCCTTAATTTTCATACCTTTAAACAATTTTACCATGACATCTTTTGTGTGTGAGTTACATAAGAAACAGTTGCTCTATGTTTTTCTTGTATAAAACCTCAATGGTTCTCGTTCCAAACTATTGAAATAGACATTTTAATTGCAATTTATTTTTCAGAGCTCAAGAAGAAGAATCTGAGCCAGAACCAGAGCCCAGACCTCGAGGACCAAGGAGACGGCGTCAAGGCTTCACGCCTCAGGAACGCAATGACCGACCTCCTACTGAAAATTCGAAAAAAGTTGCTAATGAGACTGCAAACCACAAGGTTCCTGAAAAAGCTAGAGTTATCGGTGGACTATGGACTGACGACGACTTGCATGAACTGATCAGATTGGTAAAAAAATTTCCTGGTGGCACTCCAGATCGCTGGGAAAAAATCGCCGATATTATGAACCGGACAGTCAGCGAAGTTACGTTTATGGCAAAGAAGGTATGCAATTTTAATTGTTTATTGTTTTCCTCAGTTCAGTACTGTAGTTTTTTGTCATACATAAAAAATAATCAAATAATAGGTAAAAGACGAAGGTCTAAAGCCTAGTCAGCCTGAAGAAGAAGTTCCAATTGTGGAAGATGCGCCTAAGAAAGTTAAGACTCGCGCTGAAGTTGTGGAAGCCACGAATGAGTGGAGTCAAGAGCAACAAAAGGCATTCGAGGCTGCACTCTTGAAACATCCAAAAGGTGGCTCTATGGATAGATGGGAAAAAATAGCAGTATGTGTCGAAGGGAAAAATAAGGTATGTGCGAGAGCATAGAAAATAAGTCAATTTTTTTACAATTTTATTGATAATAAACCGTAAAAATTAATCACAGGAGGAGTGTCAAGCTCGTTATCGTTATTTAGTTGAAGTTGTGAAAAAGAAACAGACACAGTGAAAGTGACAACTTATTTAAACTGCATTTGAACTAAAATAAAAGTGAAATATCAGGTGAATCGTGTTACCAAAATGACTCTTAGTGGATTCAAAGAGTATCAAATATCTTTAATGGAGACATTCTGTTACAAAAATGCCTGTTGATTATGTATTTATTTAATACATTTTTAATGAATTAAGAAACACACACGTGTCATGGATAAAATTATTGAAAGCATATACAAATATTAAACTTATACTTTTTTGTTCTTTAACTTATGTTAGTTTTAGTCTGTATTATGTACTTTTCTTTTCATTCTCATTTTCAGACGTGTCTCGATACTTGTGAAATAGATCCGTTATGCTCTTCTTTATAGGTCTCAAAAGGCTCTTATCTTCATCAGACGAACATTTTTCGCAAGAGCAAGTTGTTGGCACAGTAAGGGACTTTTCGTATGTTTTTCCGTTTTCACACGTTAATTCTACAAATATTTTTGTATAATTCTCTGGGTGACAACATTTGCAATCAATGACTTGATTCCATTGTGCTAAAATTAAAATACCAATCAAATTATTGTATGATTGTGCTTTGTTAAGCGTTGAGTAATATTGAAAATGATAAGTAGCGTACTAGTATCGAAATGCGTTGAAGAATTGCAGTGCCCTCGGCATTCACTTAGACCTTCGACCGGTTTCAAATTTTTGCATACACCGTGAAATATGCTTTTCTCAACGATTATTCCGACCGTGTTTTCGAAATCGGCAACCACGGCTGCACAGTCTCCTGTACATAAACGTTAATTTATTATTAATAATAATTGAATCTCACTCGAGCGTTTATTCTTTTAAAACTTACCTTTTACGATTTGGTTGTTGACAAGCGGATTGCACATTTTACAACAGCCATCATCGTAAACAAATTCCAGAGGGCAATTGAGCTCGGGACACATTTTCGAGCTTGTGCTAATGAGCAGCTGAAAGAAATTGTTTCGTTCTTTTTTGTTCCCAACAATTGCTAAATTTGAAAAAAAATCTCACCTGATCGTCCTGTTGAACGCACGAGTAGGTCGTGCAATTGTCGGGCGAGTACCAAACCTTACCCGGTTCGTACAGAGACTCATCAAGGATGCAAAAGACTTGCTTGCATTCTCCACAGCAGTTACCCTGCATAGGTTGCTGATATTCCCATCCCTAAAAATATGTTCATCGTATCAGTTTTACAACCCACTAAGAGCCATCATTGTTGATTTTAATCGGCTTACCCTCGGGCAATCGGTATTGCAAGTCTGTGTTTCTTTTTGCTTGACGAGGTCCCCATCTGGCGTTTGAACGCAAGATTCAGTCACGCAGGAATCTAATTCGGAGGTCCATTTGTCTCCCGGCTCATAATATTTCCCGTTGACGTGGCAGGCTGTTTTCACGATGACGGGACAGCACTTTCCGGGGATTTTTCTCTCCTCGATTTTATAATCCTCCGTCTTGCCGATTCTCTCGCACGTTTCTTCCGTCGAGTGCACGTTCAACTGCACATGGTAAAAAGAAATATTATATCTGTCATCGTTGGTAGGTACGACGAAGATGAATAACGGAAATAACGGAAAACTTGCCATTCCATTGGTCAGGATGCAGGTACTGTTGACACAGTAGTCCTCCGATTGCCAAGTTTGGCCGACGCTCTTGAGCTGTCCGTTGACGACGCAAGCCACAGGCACGCACTCCCCGCAGCAAGAGTTGGGTTTGTCCAGGGTCAATTGGTACTCGTAGCCCAAATCGCAATTCGTTGTGCAGTTCTGCACGAGCATGCTCTTCATCAGAGTCCCGTCAAAGTCCATGCAGGTTGCCGTTGTACACACGTCTTTGGGATCCGGGTGCCAGTGATCTCCCTTCTTGAAAACAAGTTGGCCCTGCTTGCACGCAATCCTCTCAAAGTTCGGGCAGCACTGGTCGTCCTGTGGGACCTCCTTGAGGACAAAATCGTTAGCGTCCGGGTGCTCGTGGTTCTCGAGGCACTTTGTTTTATGACATTTGGGGGCTGGCGAGCCATTCTGTAGCTCGCACGTGCAAGTCACGCACTTGCCGTCCGTCCACGACTCGCCAATTTTCTTGGCCACCGAGTCGGGCTGGAAGTTGAAATCGTTGGTCATGTTCGGATGGTAGATGCACATGTCTGCCGGTGGTTCTGAAAACGAGGATTTGCGGAACATGCATTCGATCATTCGACTTACAACAGTTAAGATGTGAAGCTTGGGTACAACGCTTCCTTACCGCACTCGATCTTGGCACAGCACGAATCCGTGGTCTTCTTCACTACCGGCACGTAGTGTTCCTGGCACTCCGAAGGCTTGGGACAGAGCTCGGGTTTGCACACGGTCGTGGTTCTGGGACAACAACCCGACGTGTCGGTCACTTTCACGAAACCTGGTTCCAACAACTTGTCTACGGACAGTCGGGCGTCGATGTTCTGGACGCAATCCTCCGCTGGTATACATTCTGTTTGACGAGCACAACGTGATTTGTAAAAAAAAAAAAAAAAAAAAAAAATCCATCACCTATACCTACGTACTCGATCCCGGTGCCATGTCCCGATAAGAGCAGGCACATAACGCGCATGTATCGAAAAGTATGCAATTTGTTTAAATAACCAATCGTATACCGTTAAGAGAAAGCGATGAGGCAAAAGCTCCTCCTGCGGGTGAGACGAGGGGAGATCGCTGAACGCAAATGCCAAAGTGGATATCGGGACCCTCGGGTGATTGAAGAAGGAGGGTGGGCGTGAGAGCTTATAGGCCAGGGCTCCCTTATAATATACTCTCGCGATGGATTTCCGTGCCCTCCCGCGGGCCTATTGATCGCCAAACGTTTACACATGTATACGTTTGTGTGTGTGTGGAAGCATTGCGCGGGCTCTTACTTTCAAGTACGTATATATACTTATATATAAGTACTTGAGTACCTTTTTTTTTTTGCCCCCCCCCCCTCCATATACACTCTCGATATGGACTTTGCTCGCATGGTCCTACGTGCGTTATATATATATGCATGGGACGCGCTTCTTTCGGCAACAATTTGTCACTCTTCGTCCGTATGGATGACCTACCATCGCGTTGTATACATATATAGTTACACCATGACATGTAACAGACACAAGTATGTAATATTTGTATGTAATGGTACGGACGGGGGTGTGATATATTTTCGGAGCGGACACAAATGCGAACAAATGGAAAGTGTAGAGACGATAAAATAAAAAGAAGGAGCACAACAACAATACAGTGCATGGTATACAAGTAATGTAAAAGAAAGCATTTTGACTTATTAATTGCTCTTTGTGGTGGGTGTATTACATACCTACATGGAGGATGTGATGTAAGTTTTTTATGTATATGTGTGTGTGTGTGTGCACGATGATGGGCTTACTTGCTGGCCAGCGGAGAAGGCGAGCGACAGGGCAAGTCGGGCGGCGTTCCGTAGCCTGAGGAGCCGCGGCATCATCTGCCCCCGCGTCGCGCTTTCCCTCTATCGTGAACCGCCGATGGCCCTCCTCCTCCCGCGACAACAACCCTCCCTCCCCCGTCTTTTTTTTGTTGCCACGGTATAGTAGTTACTTGGATCAAGTGTACATAATAGGATACATGGTGTATCTATCAAACATACATACGTACCTCATCGTAATGATGAATGGCTGGCAGGGGTGGTGGGGCTTTATTCCGAAATGCCACCCTTTTGTCGTGGCTATGATATCTACTGACATCTTTACCGACTGTACATTGTTGTTGCATTGATGGAAAGAGAGAGGGCATACACTTTTTGGGAGTTTTAACGTATCGTGTCAAAAAACAATGTAACTTATTTCATTGAGGTGGATAAAACCTGGATTCTTTGCTGTCAATTAAAAAACAAAAACTAAAAAACCAACAAAGGAATAGTACCGATTACCGTTTGGTATCAATCATAACAAATTTACACGCGTAACGATCCATGGGCTGTGTATTTTATGTCAAGTACTTACACATACATATATTTTTCATTCATAAGATATTATTGGATTGCGGACGATGGTTTCAATTAATTAAAATTAAAACCAAACAATAATACTTATACGTTCTATTTATTTTTGAATTGTTAACAAAGTAAACGCGCAATAACAACACAATATAAAGTAAGTATATCCATGCATTGACACACGGGGATACTCTACTGACGATTTTTCAAAGTAGAAACAGTCAAATCTGGCAAGACTGTGAGTAGAACAGATCTGTTGTGGTCGAACATGGGTCGTACCAAAAAAATACGTATACTACTTGGTATCTAATTTGGAACAGCTTCCCACGTTGATGTGTTCTTGCTCCAAAATAGGGTTCGAGAAACAGATTTTTCTCTCTCCGTCAGCCAGTACACGCTCCGTCCGGGATAAAGGCGGCAGTTTTTTGAATCCAAAGAATAGAACGCCACTTAAATCCGTTGTTGATATCGTTAAATCGACAAAAAAACATATTTTTTATAATTCACTTTAGGTTATTTAAAATCATCAAAAAGAAATTGAAAGGAACAACGATTAGTTTTAAAGAAAAAGTTACAATCATCAATCATATCTCATGGACGTGTAAAAACAATTGTCGGATTCGCACAGTATTACACGTATAAATAAAAATGAATTCGTGAATGGATTTATTTTCCATTATGAGATGAGTGTGCCTATAAGCATATATTCTATCTAGGGTAGTCATCCATACATAAGCGTGCAAGAAATAGACTATAGATTATATAGAGCCTTACAATATTTTGTTACTATTATTATTACTATTCTCGTACAGAAAAGTCAAAGCATATACATACGTAGATCAGAGCGCGCGGTATGGCTAAGTCGTGGATTGGCACGCGGGAGACCGTGGGATTCGATTCCCGGCCATAGTGCGACTTTCGGGCAAGTACCTCTGTGATTGTTCACATGTGCTTTTTCACCACGCAATGCTCCTCGGGGAGGGTTTAGGCGACCTCCTCGCAGCAAAAATTGCCTAATTTCCCCCTACCCCCCTCNTATATATATCTGTTTCACTTTTTGCGTACATATATTATACGTACGTGCACACACATAGACACACACACACGTAATGATAATATTGTACGTATAACGTATAGATCGAACCCCCGAATCAAAGAAATTCGTGGACTTGAGAAAAAGACTGGTGCATCGCGAGAAAGAGCACCATGTGAATATATGTATGTACCTGTACTGGATTGCGTACAATGATATTATACATAAAAGCACGTAATGGCATAAAAAAACTACGATTGACCTTGCCGATGATAAAGGGAGGAAAAAGAAAAAGAAAAAGAAAAAGAAACGAAAAAAGCACACACAGCGGTAGAAAAGCGCCTCGCGCTCATCCGTACATTCTGCTCGGTGTCCATGTCAGTGTCCGCAGGGTCGTCTTCGACGTCGTCGGCTCGGAGGGCCGCTCGTCTGCATCGTCCCAAGCGACGGCTTTCACCTGTCGGTCGTCATCACCATCACCATCACCATCATAACTACACTGGAGCAACGACGCACAATCGACTATCTATCCATTTAATTGTGGACTAGCTGTGACGATCATATAATGTATAGGAAAATACCTTATATTACACCTAAGCACTTAATTTATACGTGTGTACGTGTATCGCGCACGCACTATCAGCACCACCGGGTGACGAACCACTATACAAGAGGTGTGTTTATCACGGAGAGAAGAAGAAGAAGAAGAAGAGGAAAATAGAGAAGGTTGGGAAGGAGAAATAGGTGCTTTGGGGTGGCTCGGTGAAGCACACGGGATGGACTGATGATGGGTATGAGTACTATCTCGTCGGGGTGTGGAGGTGCCGTGGGAGGAGAAGGAAGAGAGGCCTGTGCAGCCAGTATAAATGTGTGTACACTGGGAGCTCCGGCGCGCATGCACCCTCTCTCTCTCTCTCTCTCTACATATAAAACGTAAAACCAACTATAGGGGCTGAAAAGCGAATAATTATATACTCTCTATACACGATTGTCCCTCCCATCGTATATATACGGTATACCGTATAATTTTGACGTCTTTGCTGATGGGTACTTTTGTGTATATACAGATACAAGCGCCCGTATATGACTTTGCCGTAATATACGTGCTTGGTGCGTGATGTATAGATGCAAGCGCGGGAGCAAAGCCATCGAGATACAAAACCACCATATCGTAACAATAATTCTATAGCCTAGACCCTGCATGGTAACCCTCAAACTTAGGTGTGTGTGTGTGTGTGTGTGTGTGTGTGTATGATCAACGAGCCCTACCCCTCCCACCCTCGACGTATAGGTATAGCTAGTACACAGGTGTGGGGGTCGGACAATATAAACGCGCAAGTTATATATTTTTATATAAATACCTAATTATAGCTGCATAAGTGGGCAGTGATAAAGGATTCGTTAAAATTGCTCGTTGCCTTCGAAAATATATACCCATTTGTATAGGTATGTGTGGTGTATATGTGTTATATATATATATGGAATAGGTATACGTTAACTGCACAGCAGCCGGGGCGAAGGGGTTAATGTTATAAGTGTAAAAAGAGACAAGGTTACGCGGCCCACACGTGTGTATGGCGTACACGTACGAAAAAAAAAAAAAAAAAAAAAAAAAACTCGTCTGCGCCAGTACAAAACAAGCATAGCCAGGGAGCTTCTTCGAGTCTGCAAAGACGAAACGGTGCATTAATTAAAGAGACGCGCGCCCGGGCTCTTATAGGTATATATAAATATACACACGATGTATCGAAGAACCCCCAGAGGCGGGCTCGTGTGTATATATACCGCTCTGCGGCACTTCCAATTAGCACGCCCGCGTATACGTATGTGCACCCTCACACAAACTCGGAGTTACCTGCATGCACGCGTGTCGGCGTGTGTATACATTTGTACTCGTACGTATCGACATTTCGATCGAAACGCCACATCCAAATGATGCACTTCGACGGGGGGGGGTGGGTGAGAGAGAGAGTCAAGAGGCTTAACGCCCGATTGCTACTGTATACATGTGTACTTACTCGTTACTGTCGCCGCCGAGTGCGGGATGTTGACAAAAGAGGCACGGGGAAGACGACAACTCGTCACTCGACGAGACAGAGAGAGATTTCGTCTGCAATCGAGTGCGTCGGGGAAGGGGGGGGTGAGGAGTTATTGGTTTCTACTTCTATGGTGGTTGATCAAGGGGATGTTTTTTTGGTTTCGTCCGGCGGGGTTGAAAGTAAAGAAAAGTCGAGAGGTCACGCTGGAGAGAGGCGCCACTGGATAATGATTACTATCGGCAAACGGCACGAGACCGTCGCTGGTTCAATTATGTACGTGGTTTACTTGTACGAGTCCACTGAATTTTTCCTCCACCCGTCGCGGGTTCATGAATTATTTTAGCGTCGACCACGCTGTGCTCGGGTATTGATTAATTCAATTATCGACGCTCGATTACGCACTTTTTTTTTTTTTG